ATGGATTAAGCTAGAGGTGGGGAACTATGGACCCTTTATGACTTGTGGACTTCAATTCCCAGAATTTCTGGGCATGACTGGCTCAGGAATTCTGAGAGTTGAAGTCCACAAGTTATAATGTTTTCAGTCTGGCCCTTTAAAGTCTTCAGCAACACATCCATTGCCAGTATAATCAAGCTACTGGTTGTCCTCTTTTTTTCTTTCTTTGAATTTTCCCCAGCATTATGGAACTCTGGAAAATGGATTTTTGTATAATCAATCCATTTTCCAGAGTTCCATAATGCTGGGGAAAATTGCAGTGAGATATTCTGGTGAGAGAATTGGAATAGATGGCTATATTATATTATGGAAATAACTTACGTCTCTCTTTTTGAGCTTTGATCTGTCCAAACCTGAACATTTCTATTGAACTCATAAAGTGATAGCTGCTCATCTATTGCAGAACTGAGACATATATTGATTTTGGTGAATTCATACTACTAAATAAAATCTTTCTTCTCATCCTATTTTATATGATTACAATTAAATCCTACACTGCCGGATGCTTCTTAATTTCTAGAAATAGAATTGTTTTCAAAATACTTTATAGGTTTGCTCTTGGGTTTATAAAGTACATTTTAAAACTATGTCTGTGCATCTTCATTTTCATATTACCGTTACATGCCTAAAGCTTTCTTTCCAATCTTGGCTACCAAACTCACATTTAACAAACCTATTTCCAGAATGGATAAAAGCAGTCTGTTAATCCATATGGACATTTTATATCATACAGCACAAAATGCATTTAAGATGGTATAGAAAAGGATTTTGACATACACATGCAGAAATTGAAAATCATATTGTATTATAAACCTTCTTGTGTATCAATGCTTTAAATTTTTCTATGAATTAATAAACTCCCTGCTGCAAATCTGGATATTTTGCAAAAGATTTGTCAACATCTGCTGCTATTAATTGGCTGGATTTCCGGCTTTGTTTGAAAGGAACATCTAGACCTCACATAGCTAATTCTGGACAGTCATTCAGAAATGCTAATAAATTCTTTTTTAAATTGGTGATCTTGATGTAAACACAGTTTTCCTTAGTGTCAGAGAGCATCACTACGAAACCCTTAAAAATAGGAGCTCTGGAAATGCAGTTGTGGCTAGATTTTGGAACCAAACACCTAGTTCTGCAGCTCATTTATAAATTCAGACCAATAATTTCTGTGGTAGCCTCAAAATTCAAACATCCTAGAATACATCAATGATAGATAGCTCGTTACAGCAATGAAGTCTTCAAATGTTTGGAATATAGCGGCAAATCCTCAAAGCAACTGTGTCTTTTCTTAAAATTACAGCTTCAGCACAGAAAAAGATATCTGACATTTAAGGAGTTGCTACAGATGCTAGATGTGAACCTTCACACATTCTAAAGCCCCCTTTTAACTCTGTATCCAAAACACTGCACAGCCATACTGCTCTGCATTATTTCTTCACATATATTTTTAAAAGATACTTTCTAGAGAGACGGTGGTTGGCCAAACATGTTCATATCTGCAGGTGCTTGCTTTATTATTTTCCTTTAAAGTTATATCTTCTGAAAGCACAGTGATCTTTTCCTTTACATAAATGCATTTAGCATCACCGCAGTGGAAGCCAAGTGATTTAATTTTCATTGGCAGGGGCTATGCTTTAAGTGGATTTCCAAATGCAAACCTATACATGCTGAGAATATGTCTATACTTGTGCATCTTAAAGTTGGCAAAGAGGTTGTTTGTTCTAATGTAGGGGTAAGCATTCTCTAGCCTTCCAGATGTTGGCAAAATCTTCATGGAGGAATGGACAGATGCTCCTTGCTCTTCCGTATCTGAAAAGTATAACCAGCTCTCAATTAGAAAAGGCAGGAGCAGGAAAAGAGAGAGATCAAGCTGCAGAACTGAAGTAATGTACATGGCCACTGGTGGGATTCAAATATGTGAACAACCGGTTCTCTGTGAGGATGTCGCTTTCGAAAGTCCATTCTGGGCCTGGGCAACAAAAAATTAGCTATCGGCTCTGCCGAAGTGGTGCGAACTGGCTGAATCCCACCAGTGTACATGGCTCTTTTGGAGGAGAAGAATTAAAACATGAAGTTGTGAACTGGAGGTTTTAAGAACAGATTGGACAGCCATTTGTCTGAAATGGTGTAGGGTGTCCTGCTTGAACACAGGGTTGGACTACAAGACCTCCAAGGTCTCTTACAACTCTGCTATTCTGTTATTCTATTTTCCATCTGGGATCTCCGCATGCACCTACCGTAGAAGATATATGGCCGGTCTGTCTTGAGAAGAAGACCTAGATCAGAGGTGTCATACTCAATTTCATTGAGAGCCGCATCAGCATTCTGCTTGCCCTTGGGAGGTGGGGGTGGGCATGGCCAGAGTGGTCACAGATGACTGGATGGGTGTGGAATGGGAATGGGACCAGGTGGACGCCAGGGGCCTGATCCACCAGCTACCTCTCGGGGATAGGAGCTTCCTGCCCTTCCCATTTGCTGGGGCCGTCGTAGGTGGGGCGGCGAGCAGGAGGTGTGTCCAGCAGAACTGGAGGATAAGGTTGGATGGCAGGGGCCAAGTGCCCAGGGGCCATGGCGCAGCGTCACCCCTGCCCTGCCATTTGCCTTACTTTGCCTCGTGCTCCTGGAGAGTGCACAGCCATGGAGGCCGTGCAAAGACAGAAGGTGGGATGGAGGAGGTGCATCTGGTGGGCCGGATCACATGCCTCCCACCCCTCATGCCTCTGCCTTCACCTCCTGCTGGTGTCACTGCTGTGCCTGCTGCTTGAAGGGCTGGCCCAGTGGTTGCAGTAGGCTGCAGAGCTGGGGCTGGTGGGCTGCAGCTACTGCGGGACACCATTGGCCTCCGCATCTCGCCAGCTCCTCCAGCCTGTGGGCCTTCTGTTTGCCATGTCTGACCTAGATCAATCTAAATAGAATCTGATCAGTCATATGGGTTGGAAGCATGGGGGAACATCCTCCCTCGGTCCTGGTTCATAGCACAGGTCTCTGCCATCTCTTGCTATAATAGTTTTAGCATTTTCTGGAATAGCACTAAACCCACATTCAGAAGGAACCTGATTATCAGCTCTTGGTTGACATGAGTGATTTGTGCTTAAAGGAATCCATTTTGATAGGACTCACTTTAAGTGAAAATGTTTCACATACAGTAACGCAGTTGGCAAAATAACTCTTTTGTTTTATGATGGCCTTTAAGATTATCTTCATATGTCTTTGCTTAAAGACAAAAATAATGCCTTTAGCTGTTTTTTTTCTTTCTTTTACTGATTCCCCCCCCCTGTGGTTTTACAATTAACCAGTGGAACAACCTGCCTCCAGAAGCAGTGAATGCGCCAACACTGGAAGTTTTTAAGAGACTGGACAGCCATTTGTCCGAAATGGTATAGGGTTTCCTGCCTGAGCAGGGGGTTGGACTAGATGACCTCCAAGGTCCCTTCCAACTTTATTATTATTATTATTATTATTATTATTATTATTACTCAATTAAGACATTTTATGAACCCCCCCCTTTACATTCATATTGTTCCCAGGAGTTGTAATGCAATAGAAAATAAAAGACTTAAAATTTCCTACAGCAAAATAATAACATCTACCTACTTTCTTTATATTATCTGCTGCTTTATTGGCAGTTGTTGCTGCTTTGTTTGGAGCCACAGTATAGTCATTTATTTTAATGAAAGAGTGGGCCCAGGGTCCACTGAAAGATTTCTCTCTTTTTTTTATGCAAAGAGAGAAGCAGAAAGGAACAAATAAGAAAGCTTCTTCCTGTCCTGCTGAAAATAGTGTCTCAGAATGCTTTTGCACATATCATTGGCATAAATAAATAAACAAATACACAAATGCTGAACAAGAAAAAAAATAAAAACAAAACTTTACGTATTACCTCAGTGTAGCTGCTAGGTCTAGAAATGATCTGGTAAAATATGTTTTCTGGAAAGCTGTTGGGTTTGGTGTGCAATCATTTCAACATAAAGGGCAGTAAGGTAGAATGGTTGCATGCCATTATGGTGTGTTCTGAAATTGAATATTTACTGCATAAAAATGATCGTTTGGCATATTGAAATAAGATTGCCAGTATGCACGAAGGAGTATTTTATGGACTCGCACTGCCCCCTGTACAATTCCTGATCACAGGACATGTTGATAGCCACTACAGGTAGTTTTCAACTTACAATCCCAGTCGGGACCAGAATTACCATTGCTAAGCAAGGCGATTGTTGAGTCACATCGGATTTGATGACCTTGTTTGCCATGGTTGTTAAGTGAATCAGTGCAGTTGTTAAGTGAATCACTGCAGATGTTAAGTGAATCATGCAGTCATAAGTACAAGCTGGTTACCAAGTGCCCAAATGTTGATCATATGACCATGGGGATGCTGCTATGATCATACGTGTGAGGTCCAGTTGTTAGTCACTTTTTTTCAGTGCCAGTGTAACTTCAAACAATTGCTAAATGAATAGTTGTACGTTGAGGACTATCTCTAACTCAATTCATAAAGGATATGTCTCCGAGGGTTATTGGTCTTTAAGATTCAATGCGACCTCCAGGTTGAGAGCAGCATATCTTCAAATAACATTGCAAGTGAACAATGGCAGGAGAAGATAATTTCTCTTTCTATTTTTTTCCCTGCTTTTAAGTCCTATAGAGACTTCTGATTGGCCACTGTAAGAAACCAATTGTTATCCAGTCTAAGATGGGTAACCTCTAGATGGCAGCAGAGAACACAAAACCTCTAATTGCTTGCTGCCATCTAGTGATCATTTGGGAAGGATAGCTCAATCTTTATCTAATCAAGAAAAGCAATTTGTACACCCTTACAACATACAAGGAATTATTTCTAGATTTACCCCTTCAAATCAATGGGACATGATTTAGCAAGCCTTTTGAATAGGCTGGCATGCTTGAGTCTTAGGGAATCAGAAAATTAACACAGCAACATCCAGTTTAATGTGTTTGCTTTACAGAGCATCAAAGTGAGTTGGCTACCCCCACCATCCAGCATGCAAAATGGATTTATCACTGGCTATAAAATACGGCACAGAAAGACAGCTCGCAGGGGTGAGGTAGAAACATTGGAGCCAAATAACCTCTGGTATCTGTTTACAGGTAAGTGTTTACATGACATTAGACTTATAAAACAGAGGAGGAATGAAATACTAGGGGAATAAAATGAGATTTTACTTCAAACGAATGTTGGTTGCCTTGCATTCTGCTGACATTTATTGGACTCTACAACAACAGCCTTCATGCATTTTTACTTTGTTTCCTATTTAATGGTTTTATCATCTATTTGTGCCTCCCTATATTCCATGCCTTAATGAGTTTGCAATACAATTCCCCATGCTGTCTTGCAGGTTTTATCTTAAATTAGGTTCTACAAATGACAACTCCAAAGCAAAAACAAAGCCTGTCACCCAGAAATAAGACGTTGTGGTCATTAGTTCTAAGCAAAAAAAAAAAAAAAAAAAAAATGGCCATTCGTTTTGATAGGTGAATGCAGACGAACTCTCCATAGGTATTTGATTCCACCTGCAGTTTCATGCTTACCTTTTTGCACTTGCTCAGAAGTGTTCTGTAAGATGTGCATCCTTGGAGGAAACTTTTAAGGCAAGATATACTTTCAGAGCTGTTCAGTCACATCCATTTCTTGTCAGAATTATCAACTTCTTTTCATGTCTCAGCTAGCCCAAGTAAATTCAACTGTATGCTGAATCCCTTTCAGTAAGTATATAAAGATATGAAACTAACTGTTGATAGACTAGTTTGGTCTTAATGCACCAGGCTAGAAACCAGGAGGCAGTGAGTTCTAGTTCCACCATAGACATGGAAACTAGGCTAGGTGACTTTGGCAAGTCTCTCTGATAGATAGGTAGGTAGGTAGGTAGGTAGGTAGGTAGGTAGGTAGGTAGGTAGGTAGGTAGGTAGGTAGATAGATAGATAGATAGATAGATAGATAGATAGATAGATAGATAGATAATGTTAATCAGTTTCAAGAAAGGCTGTTAAATACTGCAAGCTGAATGGAATATAAACAAATGCAAACCCCAATGCCACAATTTTGCTTCCATATTACAGTATTTTCCAAAGGAACTGGGAATCTTGCAGCTTTTAAAGAGATTATTTAAATATTCAAGCAGCAAGACTGTTTCCTTAAAAGCATCTGCTGGTAAAGGCAGGTGTTTTTGCCCACTAATGAGGACAGCTGCAATACCCAAGTAATTCAGAATTGCAACAATGACTTTAAATCACTATTGTTGATTTTATAGTTAGATTGAGCACCAGCTAGAATTTAAAGGAAAATATGGCTCTTTCGAGTATCAAAATCCTTCCCCAGGGGATCTCTGCAATTAAATGTGCCTGCTTATTGTTATGCTTCATGGTTAGTATAAGATGCACGAAATGATAATAATAATAATAAACTTCATTGTATGTGTATACACAGTGTGTATACATGTAATGCTGTCAAATGGAAGAGAAATCTGGTACAAAATAATTTCAAGGCACTTCTGTGTTGGAATGTAACAATTGTCAGAACAAAATAGCTGCTTCAGGATTCAAACTGGATTGAATGCATTATTAAAATTTGAGATGGGAGCTTAGTTTGTTGTATGTCTATGCAGATTCTCAGTCATCCAGGTCATGGTTGTCCCAAAGGTGCTTTTTCAGTTCTTCAGTCAGAATTGAAGAAGCTTCTTGGATGAGAAGAGAAACGTCTTCAAACAAAACAAAGTTCACTTGCCTTTTGAAAAAGCACCTTTGGGATAGCTTGTTGTATCTACTATAGTATCTTCTTTAAAGAAAAAAAAATGGTTATACTTTTTCAGAGGTATTATAAATTAGAACATATGAGTGGGAAAAGCTGTGCAGTATAACTCAGTTTACTGAACATTTTCCTCATGATAACAGTGCTGGCAGAATTCTCAGGCAACTATTTTGCCTTCCCTCTTTACTTCTTGCCCAACACTGCTGTTTGATTGGCAATGGGAGAGGGTGAAGAAGGGATATGGAGAAAGGAGCACAGATACGTATCACCTGCTCAGGCTTTCTGTTCTTCCATAGAAAGGAATAAATTGGATTGAGCTCAGAGGAGGGGAAGCAAGGTGGTGAGGGTTCAAGATACTACCCTCTGTGAGAAATATTAAAGGATCTGGATGTGAATTAGCCCACAGAAGACAAGGTTGACTAGAGATACAATAGCTATCTTGGTAGTCCTCAACTTATGACCAGTTGCTTATTGACCATTGAAAGTTATGACAGACTTTCCCAGGAATACTTATGACTCAGTTCTGCAGTTCCACCAGCTTCCCCACTCCTGTGGTCATGTGACTGCATTTTGGGTGCTTGGCAATTGGCCTGCATTTAGGTTTTTGCTAAAAAAAAAAAAGGACATTTACTTCTGGTTTTTGGCAAAACTGGCCCATAGCAAAAAGGTGATTGCTTAAAGACCAGGGCATTCACCTTATGATTGTGGCAGTTGCTTTACAATTGCCATAGTTGCTTTAGGAGTGCAACAGTCAAATGATGAATGCTGCAAAAATTTTTATAAAGTCAGGTTGGTCAACTGGATGATCTGACCTGCTTTACAACTGTCAGAACCTATAATGGACAGACTCCATTGTCATATATCACCTATATCTGAAAAGTTGTCCCATTAAATAGGGAACTGAATAATTCTCCATTTCCCAGAGGGCAGGAAGAGATGAGAAGAGAAGAGAAGAGAAGAGAAGAGAAGAGAAGAGAAGAGAAGAGAAGAGAAGAGAAGAGAAGAGAGAAGAGGAGTGGGAGGAGAGCAGAGCAGAGCAGAGCAGAGCAGAGCAGAGAAGAGAAGAGAAGAGAAGAGAAGAGAAGAGAAGAGAAGAGAAGAGAAGAGAAGAGAAACTTTGCAACTATATGGACTGCTGCCAGGGGAACAGACTGCAGCTGGGAAAGCCTGTTTTAGTCCTCCCTTATGCATATAAGCTTGGGCTATTCACTCTCTTTAAATGTTAGACTGCAAAGTAAAAAAATTAAAAAGAAAATCTACCAATCTGCCTACACTGGGCCAGTAGGACAGATCATGGTTTATAACTTTCAGTGAAGAAAACTTCATCCTGCTGATGCATACACACATAGACATATTGACATGGGGAGAGGAAAACTAGGTTTGGAGACATACTGCTATGATAGAAATGATTGCATTAATTTGACTTGTAGTATGAACTGAATGTTTTCTGTTTGATTTGCATTGCAAATAGGTCTTGACAAAGGAAGCCAGTATAGTTTCCAGGTTGCAGCTATGACAGCCAATGGAACGGGACCTTCTTCAGACTGGTATACTGCAGAAACTCCAGAGAGTGATCTTGATGGTAATTGTGCTTATTTTCACAGCTGTTATGCTTCTTTTGTACTCAGATAGTTGCCTTGCCTTTCGGGTAAACTGCTGTGGAGGTTAGGATGATCCAGTGTCCAAGTCACTGGAGTTGATGCCTGAATATTTTCTTGAGCAGAAGTGTTTTCATTGATTGCATGCTGCTAAATTTCTCTCTCTGTATGGGCAAGTGAAGCAGAAATGAGAAAAAAAAGACAGTTCTGTTCTCTTCCATTATTTTCACAAGGTGTTTCTAAGCATCTGTCTAATTTTAACTTCTGCACCAGCTGTTGCTATCATGTCTTTTGCCAAACTGTAACAATTGGATGGATGCTCAGAGCAAGGATAGTTTTCACAGTAGCCTTCAACTTCAATATTTTCCATGCTGTGGGTACCGCAGGAGATAGCTAAAGAGCTTCTTTACTCTGTGGCAGGTCTAAAATCTATCTGATCAGCCCAATCTATTGGAATTCTTAAAGCCTGAAAGCAAAGCCTTTCAGATTCTGAAATACTTCAGCCACAAGTCACAAGTCTAGGGCTTCATTAGAATGTACGTATGGATTCACTGGAGGAAACCAACATCTCTTATGTCTGAAAGAAAAGAAAAAGTTTTCCAGAAGCTCATGACTTCAGGAGACATCTCCCATTGTTTCTCCCCAACATTTGATACAACCCTAAAAACTTATCTTGTAGCCTTTTGTTGAAAGATTCAACCTTGCAGGGACATAGAAACCCACTCTTGATTCCGTTCCCAAATGAAACAGAGCTGTGTTACTGCTGTTACTAAGGCTTGGAAAGCCATGTGATTAGTTTCCCAATTATGAGCATCTCAGTTTAAAAAAGGACCTCAGGGAAACAGGGACAAGTGCCAAGAAGAGTAATGAAGTAGTCATGGGACTAGAAACAAAGTCATAGGAGAAGAAGTTGGATATATTTAACACTGAAAAAAAAGGAACCGGCGAAAGTATAGCAAAACGTTTCAAGTATCTAAAGAGTTTTTTCACAAGGCCAAGACTTTCTCTGTTTTCCCAAAGTGCAGGACCCAGAATAATGGTTTTAATTACAGTAAAGTACTGTAGATTTCAGCTGAATGCAGAAAAAAAAATAGTAATATTTTTGAATACTTTGGAACTTGAGTAGAGAGATATCCTGCACCCCTCTACTGGATCAGATCAGATAGATTCATCCCTCTGGAATGTTTTAATTCAGATTCCTGTATCAGACAGGAAGTTATATCATCCTGACATACAGACCTGCCCTTAATGCTCTCACTTTGAGGGTAAACATCATTATGTAAAACACAGAAAAGGTAAAAGGAAGAAAGAAGCAAGAAAAAGAACTGTCACTAAATCTAATATGAATCAACACCATGTTGATGCAAATTAGATTTAGTGATAGTTCTTTTTCTTGCTTCACTCCAGTTACCTTTCTATATCTATCCTTCCAAACCATTCTTGCTTCAGCTATGTCTCTATATCATTTAATGCCTTGCCTTTTATTCTTCAAATATCTCACTTCTTTCCATTTTGAGGATCTCCTGTAGTCCGTCTGACTACAAATTTTTTCATTTTGTTCCTCTTCTGAACTTTAAGCCTTATTCCTTTGCTTTATATGACCAAAGTATCTCAAAGTTCTTCTTTTGTACTGGTCTCTCACTTTTGTATTCAGCTGACATTTATTCCATCTACATTCATTCTTAATCCTGTCTTTTCTTTTTAAGCTCTAGGGTATCCATCACCAGCCTGATTCTCTCCATGTTTGGCATTTTAACCTTTAAAATCCCCCAGTCTTTCTGACTTCCAGCTTTATCTCTATAGGAATTAGGAATTCAGTAAGAATTCTGAGAGCCTGTATCCTAACACAACTGGAAATATGAGATGGGCAAATCTTTCCTTTGCAGGGCAGGGCATCTGATTTGTCAAGAGAACCATAGAGCCGGTTTACTCAGTTGAAATATTAAACTTGGTGTGTCGAGAGCCTCAAATCCTCCTGAGTGTTCAGAATGGATGTTTCAACTGAATGGATCAAAAATCCATGACTGATAACCCCAATATTTATTCATTTCAGGAGAAAGATTTCAAATCTAAGGAGACTTGTTTTGTGTGCTTTCATGATTGGCATGCAATTTTGCACATCTTTGTAATTTAACAGTCTACTGCAGATCAGCCAGAGACCTGGTATTAAATCTGGAACTAGCTTTTTCCTATCCCTGTTTGAGATGATTTCTTTAAGGATCATCCCTGTAGAGAAGCAGATCTGGTAAATTCTAGCACGGGAAGGAAAAGATTGCTAAGGAAGAGATTATTTACGGCAGGCCCTTTTTTCTCATTTTTGCTGTAACAGTTTTGTCACTGCTTCCTTCTTGGCATTTGCACTAACATGGGAACAAATAGTATCTTAAAGAATTCCCTTAAATCCCTATGGATAGTATATTTTGCTAAAGCAATTAGAAATCTAAACAATGCAGGCTATCTAAGATTCCCTGGAAAGCCAAAACAGTCTTTCCAACAGCTGGAAAGGTTTTAAATATTCATTTTGAAAGAAAATCCCATGTTTTGTTTCCTTTAAAAAAAAAAAGATTTTTGTCTGATCTCCTGAAATTTCCTATATGAACCACATCAGACCCTGCTTAGCTTTTGCAAAATTAGCCAAAGATGCTCGTTGATACCACATATTATCACATAGTTTAAATATTTTTTGCAGTAAAAAATAATTACCTTTATAGTATTTCTTTTCTGCTGTACTCGTTTTGTGAAAGAGAAGATGAAAAATAAGACTTCTTGTCTCATGGGGGGGGGGAAGAGAACTTTCTGAGGCATCCTATTGTATTTTGAGGGAGGAAAATCCTAGTGTATTTCATCAGTTCTTCCTTTACTCAGGAAAGGGGGAAAAAAACCTACCTCTTTATGTGTATATCATTTGTCAAGGAGAAAAAATACTTCTTTGTGTTAATTTTTTTTTAATGTAGGCCAGGGGTAGGAAACCTTGGCTTTTTTATGACTCGTGGACTTCAACTCCCAGAATTCCTGAGCCAGCATGGCTCAACTTGGAAACCTCTTCCTTTCCCCTCAGCATGGCTGGCTCAGGAATTCTGGGCGTTGAAGTCCACGAGTCATAAAAGAGCCAAGGTTGCCTATGCCTGAAATGGTGTAGGGTTCCTGCCTGAGCAGGGGGTTGGACGCGATGACCTCCAAGGTCCCTTCAAACATTACTATTATTATTATTATTATTATTATTATTATTATTATTATTATTATTATTATTATTATTATTATTATTATTATTATATATGGATCATCGCACAGTCAGCCAGATGTTCAGACTGGATTTGGCATTTTGTCTACCTATCGAGTCCTTACCCAGGACCTGGGATAGGCAGATGTGGATGTTTGATGGTATTACAGGTATCGTCGCAGGATGGAAGCAGTTCCTAATAAGGCCGCCTTTTGCAATTGACTAATAGCGAATTTGTCAATGCCAATGGTGTTCAAGTGGTGCTCCAGTTGTTTTGGGATTGCACCCAAGGAGCCTATTACTATTGGTACTACCCTTGCTTGCTTTTGCCACAGTCTTTCTATTTCTATTTGTAGGTCTTTGTATTTTGTTATCTTCTCCAGTTCTTTCTCTTCTATTCTGCTATCTCCAGGCACTGCCACGTCCACTATCCAGACTTTTTTGTCTTTCTTATCGACAATTGTTAAGTCTGGGGTGTTATGTTGCAGGTGCTTGTCTGTTTGAATTCTGAAGTCCCAGAGCAGTTTAATTTTATCATTTTCTATGACTTTCTCTATTTTATGATCCCACCAGTTTTTGCTTACAGGCAAATGATATTTTTTGCAGATCTTCCAATGCACCATTGTTGCTACTTTGTCATGCCGCTGCTTGTAATCAGTCTGTGCAATCTTCTTGCAACAGCTTACCAAGTGGTCCACTGTTTCTTCAGCTTCTTTGCATAGGCGGCACTTACTGTCTGTTGCTGTCTTCTCAATTTTGACTTTGTATGCATTTGTCCTTAAGGCTTGGTCTTGTGCAGCCAGAATTAGTCCCTCGGTCTCTTTCTTCAATTTTCCTGCTCTTAGCCATTGCCAGGTTTTATTATTATCTGCTTTCCCAGCTATTTTTTTCATGTATTGGCCATGTAGTGCTTTGTCTTCCCATGCCTCTATTCTGTTCTTCATTTGGTCTTTCTTGTAGGCCAGTTTGGTCTCTCCAGTAGTTAGTAAGCCTTCCTGATATACTAATTTCAGTGCATCTTCATCATTGTTCTTCAGATATTCTTCCAAAGCCATTTTTTCTTCTTCAACCATCTGATGTACTTGTAGCATTCCACGCCCACCTATTTGCCTTGGTAGATAAAGTCTATCAATGTCACTGCGTGGATGAAGGGCATGATTCATTGTCATTATTTTTCTGGTCTGCCTATCCATTGCTTTTAGTTCTGCTTGAGTCCAGTCCACTATTCCAGCTGTGTACCTAATGACTGGGATTGCCCAGGTGTTGATTGCCTTTATGGTATTTCCTCCATTGAGTTTGGACTTTAAGATCTTCTTCACTCTCTTGATGTATTCACTTCTAATCTTTTTCTTGACTTCAGTGTGCTTGATGTTGTCAGCTTGAAGGATACCCAAGTATTTGTAGTACTCTTCCTCATCCAGACTCTTAATGTTATTTTCGTGGGGCATCTTGATTCCTTCAGTTTTCACTATTTTTCCTTGTTTGATAGTAAGTGTGGCACATTTGTCCAAGCCAAACTCCATTACAATATCTTGGCTATATATACGGACAGTGTTGAGCAGCGATTCTATTTCAGATGATGTTTTTCCATACAGCTTCAGATCATCCATGTAAAGGAGGTGGGATAGTCTGGCAGATGTTTTTGATGTTTGATAGCCATGTCCTGAGTTATTCAGTATTGTTGACAGAGGAAACAGTGCAATAACAAATAGTAATGGTGATAATGAATCTCCTTGAAATATTCCTCTCTTGATATTAACCTCT